TTGGCCCTAATCCATCAGTCCAAGTGGCGGGCTGGTGGGCCAACTCGCTGGATCTCGCGATCAACTACTCACGGACTGACGAAAGCGTGGTTGTTCTCTTCTTTCCCCATTGTTTATATTTGGAGTTTGCGGCTCCGAAGCTCCGCAGTGGAGTATCAGCGTAGGCCAGCTCTCCCGTCTGAGGCGCGTATCTCTCGAGAACCGCTTGCCCTCTGCGAGCCCCCATCTTACCAACTATTCACCTCACTTCCGACCACGGGGTAGCACGGGACGCTTACCAAACATGGGCAATCTGCAAGCGTTAATTGAAGTGGCTACGCCCTGGAGGATTGAAATGGGTCCACTCGAGACACAAGTCGCCTGCAATACATCGGCCGCTGTTGGTTTGAGAAGGCATCTTCTGTATGACATCGTGTCCACTTTTCCGTACTCGGTTCGGGCTTGCCAGTTCGCGCCATTCCATTCAGTCCATCGTGGCAAGGTGGCGGATTAGTGTAGAGTTGGGAAGAGCAGAGCAGGACCACGGCAGGAATGCAATGGGGCATTATAACGAATCGTCCAGTCGAGTGGAGTGGGCATAGTACAGGACACTTGGACAACGTACGCATGATGTGTGAGAGCATGGGCAACGCGTACGCGTCTGGTGAGTATGATCGTGTCGACCATCTGCCTGCTGGATGCAACGCTGGCGTATGTCCTGGTGTGATGAGGGGAAGGTGGAGCAAGCGCAAGGGGATGCGAAGAACGGAGGAGGAGGAGGGAGAGGAGGAGGAGGAGGAGGAGGAGGAGGAGGAGGAGGAGGAGGGAGGAGGAAGGAGGACGGGCCCCGGAAGACGGGCGGAGGAGGACAACGGGAGGAGCGAGGAGGGATAACGAGGAGGAATGTATTGATGATGATGATGATGATGATGATGCTGATGCTGATGATGATGATGATGATGATGATGATGATGATGATGATGATGATGATGATGATGATGACATTGTTGTTGGGGCGATGCTGATGATGATGATGAGGATGGTGGTGGTGATAACGATGATGCTGATGATGCTGATGATGCTGATGTTGAGGGTGAGGACTGAGGGTGATGATGATGGTTATGATGGTAATGATGATGACGATGATGGTGATGCTGATGATTCTTATAATTATGATTTTGGTGATGATCAGGATGACGAGCACGACGATTCTGATTATGACGCATATGATGGTGATGATTGATGGTGATGGTGATGCTGATGTTGATGATTATCACGGCGACGATGCCGATGCCGATGATGACGATGATGTTGATGTTGATCATGATGATGATGATGATGCTGATGATGATGATGATGGCGGTGATGCTGATGGTGTCTATGATGGTGATGATTCGATTGATGATGACGATGCTGATGATGACGATGCTGATGCTGATGCTGTTGATATTGTTGGTGATAATGGTGCTGCTGGTAAATGGTGGTAGTGATGACGATGCTGATGCTGATGATGATGCTGCTGATGATGATGATGACGACGCTGACGATTCCGATGATGACGATGCTGATGATGATGCTGATGGTGATGGTGATGATGCTGATGCTGTTCGTGATGGTGATGCTGCTGATGATGATGACGACCCTGATGATGCTGCTGCTGGTGATGATGGTGATGGTGATGCTGATGCTGATGCTGATTGTGATGATGATGATGATGATGATGATGATGATGAGGATGATGATGATGGTGATGGTGCTGATGCTGATGCTGGTGCTGATGATGATGCTGATGATGATGCTGATGATTCTGATGATGCTGAGGATGCTGATGATGATGGTGGTGGTTGTGATGATGATGATGCTGATGGTGGTGGTGAGGAGGAGGAGGAGGCGGAGGAGGAGGAGGATGAGGGGGGAGGGGCAGGCGGAGGAGGAGGAGGAGAAGGAGGCGGAGCAGGCGGAGGAACAGGAGAAGGCGAATGACGATAGTTCATATGTATAGAAGGAGGACGGTGAGCGAGCAGGATGAGATAACAAGCGGGGACAGGTGGAGGACATAGCAGAAGGAGGAGATGAGGAATAGGATGGGGGGGCAGTGGAGGAGGAGGAGGAGGAGGAGGAGGAGGAGGTGGAGGAGGAGGAGTAGTAGGAGGAGGAGGAGGAGGAGGAGGAGAAGTTGGAGGAGCAGGAGGGTGGACGGTGATGGTACTGTGCATGATGAGCATGATGATGAGGCAGAGGAGGAATGGGTGGAGGAGAGTGGATCATCAGGGCAGAAGAGAATTTTGAGCAGTAGGATAATTGTTGTCCTCCTCACTCCTTCCCCACCCCTCCCTCTCCTCCGCCCGCCCTCCCCTCCTCCCTTTTCTCTGCCTCCCTCCCTTCTCCGTACTCCTCCTCCTCTCCCCCTCCCTCCTCATGCCCCCGATGCAGTGTTTGTTTTGCTACACAGCGAGGACCCCCCGAAGGTCACGTCCCCCTTCCCGAGACCAGCGTTTCCTACTGGTCGCGCTGTTATTGG